CAGTGGTCACAGTCTCACCAAAACTGGACAGATGAACATTTGAAAAACATCGCCTGGTCTGAAAAATTGCAATTTCTGCTGTGACAAGCACATGGTAGGCTCAGAATTTGGCCAAAACATTCGGTATGTGATAGAATGGGAAGTTCATGGCATGTGCAGCTGACACAGCTGCAGCAAGAGCATGATACTATCATGCCAACATAAACATCACAAGGGAATATTGCCAGCAACTTCGTGAATCAATGCCATGAAAAACTTGGGATGTTCTGAGTACCATGGTAGGCATACCCAGTACCCTAATAAAGTGGCCACCAAGTAAATATCAACTATGCTTGTGTTGAGTGACCGTACCAGACTGTACTAGTGAACTACACTATGCTAGTGTACCAGACCATACTAGTGAACCAGACCATACTAGTGTACCAGACAATACTAGTGTACCAGACTGTACTAGTGAACCAGACTGTATTAGTGTACCAGACTGTACTAGTATACCATACTACTAGTGAACCAGACTGTAATAGTGAACCAGACTGTACTCATATACCAAACTACTGAACCAGACTGTACTAGTGTACCACACTGTACTAGTGAACCAGACTGTACTAGTGTACTAAACTGTACTAGTGTGCCAGACCATATCAGTGTACCAGATGGTACTAGTGAACCAGACTGTACTAGTATACCATACTACTAGTGTACCAGACTACTAGTGAACCAGACTGTACTAGTGAACCAGACGGTATTAGTGTACCAGACTACTAGTGAACCAGACTGTACTAGTATACCAGACTGTACTAGTGTACCAGACTACTAGTGAACCAGACTGTACTAGTGACTGTGCCAGACTGTACTGCTGCTGAGTAACTGTACCAGACCATATTAGCGACTGTACTAGACTATTCTAGTGTTGACTGTACCAAACTGTACTAGTAACTGCACCAGAGTGTACCAGACTGTACTAGTGTTGACTGTACCAGACTGTACTACTGTTGAGTAACTGTACCAGACTGTGTTATTGACTGTACCAGACTGTACTACTGTTGAATAACTATACCAGACTATACTGGTGACTGTACCAGACTGCATTAGTGATTGTATCAGTGATTGTACCAGACTATATTAGTGACTGTACTAGAGACAGTACCAGACTGTATTAGTGACTGTATCAGACTGTATGTATTAGTGACTGTACTACTGTTGAGTGATTGTGCCAGAATATACTAATGACTGTACCAGACTGTATAGTGACTGTACCAGACTGTATCAGTGACTGTACCAGACTGTCTACTGACTGTACCAGACTGTCTACTGACTGTACTAGTGTTGACTGTACCATACTGTACTAGCATTGACTGTACCAGACTATACTAGTGATTGTACCAGACTGTATTAGTGACTGTACCATACTGCACTAGTATTGACCATACCAGACTGTACTAGTATTGACTGTACCAGACTGTATTTGTACTGACTAACATTATTATAATCAAAATCAAGTGCTAAACCCTGACAGGTGACAGAGTGCCGCCTTGCATGGTGTGCTACTTGTTTATAGATGAGCGAGGCCAGAGAGGATAACAGAGGTAGAGTCAGTAAGGTCTGTGAGGAGTGCTAAAGGAAGTAGTATTATCAAAGTTTGTGTAATAAATTGGCTGCTGTCAAAGAGGGAGTCTGTGTCAAAGGTGGAGCCATCAGCGTGGAGGGAAGATCAAGTGAGGGTATTAGAGCGGTGACGATGTCAGAGGTAAATTCTGTGTCCGCTGGTAAACAGGACAGTCCAATACAATATGGACAAACTGAAACTGGAACCTGACAATTCTCAGAGTGGAACTAGGCGTCTCTCCAGGAGATACCCATGAGTAAGACTTGTGCCCAATGCCTGGACAGGAGAACATAGTCTCCCAACCACAACACAGATGATAAGAGGAAGACCAGGGTCCTAAGCTCGGATTGATAGAATATAATTTGTCATTAATCAACCGAGACCAATGTTGTTGCCAATGTAATCTCTAGCTGCCTTCTTTGAAGGCAGCTAGAGATTACAGCAAACCAGTCTGAGTATTAAATACCTCTATATGAAAAGTGAAGGTCATGTACCGCTGACCACGCAGCAGAGTCTGCCTGTTCGTTGCCCTGAACATCAACATGACCAGGGACTCAGCAGAAAACGATTTCAGTGTTTTTGCTAGAAATGTGGCCCAACCAAAGTTGTATATGAAGAACTAGGGAATGAAGCAAATTAAAGTTTTTGATAGCTTGCAAAGCACTAAAGGAGTCTAAGACTACCACAAATGTTGAGGCAGGCCTAGACACAATATGGATAATTGCTATGACAATTGCATACAATTCAGCTGTAAAAATGCTAGCTGAGTCTAATAAGTGACCTTGCACTACACTGTGCAGGAACACTGCTGCAAATTCAACACTGTCAGAGGATTTAGAACCATCAGTGGTGTAGAAAAAGGGAGCAAGAAGCAACTGTAGGTATTTGGGCTTTTCACACATGGCAGTGGTGAAGAACAGACTTGACTGTCGGAACCTCCTAAGGAGGAAGGGAAAAGTTAGATGCTAGATGATCATATAAAGGGGGCAATTGAAGAGAGGCCAAGAGCGAGTGAAGATGAAGAGAAAAGGGGCAGAGTAAACGGGTGACAAACAAATAATAGACCTCTACTAGCATCCATTACTATCCTATATGCAGTAGAATTGTGAAGATCATGAGAGCAGACAATATAGTGAAGACAATGAGCATCATGGCAATCCACCTCTGCATACAGGCTCTTGATGGGAGGAACAAAAAGTACCTACACATGAACATAATTCCTAATGATGGATAGGATCAAGTTTAGAAAGAGTTTCAGGAGAGGCTGCAGAATATATCTGGTTGCCAAAGTCTTAGTTTCGATACATATATAGCTCAATGAAGTCTAAAGAGTTCAACAATCCACCCTCATGAAAGATGACTGAGGGTTTTAAGGAGCTTCGGCCGGCTATGGCAAGTTGCTCTCAGGAAGGTAATGTGAGGTTTCCAGGACAACCAGCAATCAAACAGAAGACCAAGAAATGTGACCGTATCACGTTCAGAGATACGTAAGCCATACAGGTACAATGGAGTATCAAAGACAACAGAACGTCTTGTGAAAGTAATTTGGTGTGTTCTAGTGCCAGAAAATTTAAACCCATGAGTAGCACCCCAATGGGAAACATTCTGGAGAGCAGCTGCTACCAGGCAACAGTCAGCGCCTGCACAAGCTGTAGCAGAGTCATCAACATAGTGATGACCAAATATTAGATGGGAGAACAGATGCTAGATCATTTATGGTAAGGAGAAACAGCCTGGATATAGTCAGGGGACAGCAGATCATTAACCCAGACATGGAAATGTCTTTCAGGCAAGAAGTTTTTAGGGAAAAGTTGCAGATTGCCCCAGAGGCCCTAGGTAGCCCCAAGGATGAGCCTGGGCTAAGATGATATATCTCCAAGTAGTGTCGTATGCTCTTTCAAGATCAAAAACGACTGTGATAACCAAGTGGTTACTAGCAAAGGCATTGCGAATATAGGTATATAACTGGAAAAAGGGGTCGATAGTGTAGTGGCCCTTACAAAAACCAAATTGACGAGTGGAAAGACTATTGTGCGTCTCTAAATACCACACCAAAGGTCTATTTACCAGACATTCCATCACCTTGCAAACTGCACTGGTAAGAGCAATGGGATGATAGTGTGAGGTATCATAGCCCAAAATACCTGGTTTATGAAAGGGGCAGAACAACAACAGTTTTCCACAGCTGGAGAAGAACTTGCGACCAAATAAGATTAAAAAGACATAAGAGGACTACTAATATGAAAGCCATCAGGTCCAGCTGCTGACGGTCAGCAAGTGGAAAGTGTTGACTCAAGTTCTGGAAGTGTAAAAGGCACAGTGTCAGACTCTTCTCTGGTAGCTGAAAAGCCTAAAGGCAGTAACTCTCTGGCAGACTTGGTGGAAAGAAACAAGGGGGATAAATGGAACCCCCGAGAGATACGAACAAGATGATTTCCAATTGCTGTGACAACTTCAACAGGATTTGCAATACTGACACCAGCAACCCTAAGAGCAGGAGCAGCGCCTGGAGAGTATTTGCCACTCAATTTCCGTACTTTTTTCCAAACTACTCGAGGAGGAAGCACAGGTAATGGTAGAAACACAATCCCACCAACAAGTGCATTTAGCTTCTCAGATGATACCTCAGGTAACAGTTCTCGCCCACGGTGATACCTCAGGTAACGGTTCTTGCCCACGATGATACCTCAGGTAACGGTTCTCGCCCACAATGATACCTCGGGTAACAGTTCTCGCCCGCTTAGTCTCTCTGTGGTTCTATTGTAATGATATTGGTCCCATGCAGCATGTTCCAATCATACTGCATAAGCACAAGGTATTCATTTCTGAGAGTGCCTAGTCAAGGTTTGAGGAATTCAATGTGAAGCCACAGTAAAAACCAAAGTCAAAAATAGTTGTAATAGATCATTAGGTAAGAACAAAGAAGGTTCCTCACTAAAAATGGTTTGAGTGGCATTAAGGGCCCAATTCAACCATTCAAACTGCCAACATGGGCTGCCCAGAGAGCAAGGATACCTGGGAGTACAGACCAGGTAAAGTCGAGTGCAGCTGACGAGGAGCAAACTGAGAGATCAATGTGAGAGAAACTGAGTGTGAGGGTCAAAATGTGTGGGAGTACCAGTATTTAAAACATGGAAAAGAAGTGAATAAAACCTTTAATTGGTTGCCACGAGTCACAGTGAGACCCTCCCACACACACTCCAAACCCCCACATTCACACACACACCCCCACCCCATACACACACACACCCTACACCCCCAAACACACACTGAGGTAATGATGAGCATTAAAATTACCTAATAAGACAGTGACTGCACCAGACTGTACTAGTGACTACCAAACTGTATTAGTGACTGTACTAGTGACTGTACCAGATTGTACTAATGACTGTACCAGAGTACTAATAACTGTACCAGACTGTACTAATGACCGTAACACTGTACTAATGAATATACCAGACTGTATCAGTGACTGTTCCAGACTGTACTAGTGATTGTACTAGTGTTGAGCAACTGCACCAGACTGTAGCAGTGACTGTACCAGACTGTACTAGTGTTGAGCAACTGTACCAGACTATACTAGTGACTATACCAGTCTGTACTAGTGTTGACTGTAGAAGACTGTACTAGTGAGTGTACCAAACTGTACTAGTGTTGAATGACTTTACCAGATGGTACTTGACTGCAGTAGACTAGTGAGTGTACCAGACTGTACTAGTGACTGTACCAGTCTGTACTAGTGTTGACTGTAGCAGACTGTACTAGTGTTGACTGTACCAGATTGTACTAGTGACTGTAATAGACTGTACCAGATTATACTAGTGACTGTACCAGCAACATATATTTTACACATCTATGAGTGACAAAGTGAATGTCAGAATCCATGACTCTCTCTCTCACACACACTCTCACAGTAAACCAGCCACGCACAACACATTTCCCTCACAGTTAAACTCGTATAGAAGTGTTTTATATAAACATTACAAAAATCCTATCTACGTCTTATTAAGAATGCTAAGTTGGTCTCACAGAAAAACATTCAATCCTATCATAAAAATTACAATGAACATTCTTAAAAAGTACATTTACGGTCTTAAAAACTCTAAGATAGACAAAGTTGATCTTCAACGAACTTTACAAATAACCAAAAGAATGATCACAGACATAATTTTTAAGATAAAAGAACACATTGAAAGCCAGAGCCGTACATAACTACAGTATCACAGGTAGGGTGACAATAATGCCCGGAGCAAGGTACAGGTTTCCTGCGGTGCTCCTCTAGTCTGTCCCAACACACCACTACAAAATCTCTCCTTTAAGCAGTGATATCAAAACCTTAATATACCTGTAGGCCTAGTCTTATATATAAAATTCTTATCACTTCATTGATAAGGCTATTTTCTGTAATATATCTGTAGGCCTAGTCTTGTTATACAAAATTCTCATCACTGTATTGATAAGGCTATTTTCTGTAATATATGTGAAGGCCTGTTTTTTATTAGTTATATAAAATTCTTATCACTTACTTTACTGATAAAGATATTTTTCTGTATATTTTGCATAAAACTTTATTTATAAAAGCTAATATATTTGGGATAGTTTTATTGTACCTGCTTTACTACCTCCTCTCTCTCTCTCAGTAATAAAACTGTGCTTCAGAATCTCAATAAAGATCATACCGTTGAAATAAGTTCCTTACCCTTTCTCTTGTCTTTACTCTCTTTTCTTTCCTTTACTTCTTTACCATTTTCCTTACACTTATCTTTTTGTTTCCCTTCTTTATTTCTCTCTTTCACATCCTTCTCACTTTTACTCCTGTCTTTCGCATCTTTGTTTCTCTCTTTCTTTGACTTTTTTCTTTTCGATGGTTTGGGCGACTTGCCCAAAAACAGAGCCTCGTGGAAGTCGTCGGAGCTCAGGTTGGACTCCTCAACATGCAAGACAGAGCTCAGAGCTCCATCTGTGGGAGACTTGGGAAACTGGAACACTAGTCGTCCCTTCTCCGGCTCCGATGCTGAACGAGAGACTCGCAGTTCACCAAGGAGGAATGGTGAGGTCGCCCTCGTAGCCTGGAGAGACAGCGAGGACAGGTGAAGGCAAGTTCCACTGGGTCGGGCAGAGATTCGAGGCGAGAGAGTTGCAGAACTGGGCACTACCAGTGACGAAGAGCGAGAACGACTGTATATTGGCAGAGGCGAAGTGTCCAGACGGCCATCAATGCGAGACCTGGGCTCTGGCGTGCAGCAGAGCGGAAGCGTCAAACTCGGAGATCGTGTTTCCTTGTGCTGAAGCTTGGGAGAACGAGGCTCAGGAGACCGACAAATTGACACTCCACTTATATACAACGTCGGCGAATTTGGTATACCTGTCTCTGATTCATATTCATTTGAACTCTGATTTTCAAGTTTTGAGGAATGGGAAATGTGAATTCTGAGTCCCTTAACATTAGACGGAGCGCTGCTGCTCTGTTCCGTGGAATTACTTTCATCTTTATCAGTTCCTTCATCAACTATCAACTGAAAAGAAGGTTCGTGTTGGAAGACTGGGTCTAAGTCCAGACTAACATCACTTCCTCCACACTGCTCATCTAATGGATTGTCTAACTGACTCAAAATTCCACGCACTTCCATATCCATCATAGGGGAGTCCATATCTCCAATAATCTCGGATGCGGCTCCTGGGTCAGTGTTTTCCACATCTCCACTCTCTGACTCCATGTCTATGCTCTCCTGTTTAGGTTTGGCTAATCGGAGTCGAGCCGTCTCTTCTGGATGATCCTGATGAACATGATCAGAGTCAATCATGCACTCCGGTTCCTCCGAGTTCTTTAAATCGCCCAGCGACTGGGACCTACGGAGATCTCTCCGCAAGTCAGTGGAGTGACCAGAGATCAACAGATGACCATTTTCATGCAGATCTCCATACTCGAAATGTCCATCTTCAACTTCATTGGCAACTTTAGGGAAACAAAGAAGATTCTTATCTGCCTTCCTCTCCCAGTCTTTGTCCACATTGAGGTTCCTGAAGCAACAACAACATAATCAATTAAACAACAACTGCAATTATACAAACTACCACCAAGTCTTAATTATTGCCAAGAAAATCTATTGTCTTAACAATATTTTATTACATGTAGATTACATTATTTGTACAGTAGAACTCCCATATCCACAGTTTGTTATTTATGGTTTACTGTATTCCAAAAATAACGCTTTGTTTTAATAATGGCCCCCAAAGTGCAAAAACAGTTATGCTAGTAATTCTTCAAAGCCTAAGAGGACCTCCAAAGTGCTTCCTATCAGTGAAAATGTGACAATTATAGACTTATTTTGCTTAATTTACCACTTAAACTATCATAGGTATGTATGTAAACAAAAAATGACTTGTATATAGAGTTCACTATTATCCACGTTTCAGATATCCACGGTAGGTTTTGGAACATATCCCCCGTGGATACAGGAGGACTACTGTATAGCTAGTTCTTGACTTATGATGGGGTTACATTCCCAAGAACCCATTCTAAGTTGGAAATATCTATTATTTACCATTAACAACATAATAAAATATACCTTAAGCTGATCTCCTTATTGGCTAACTTCTTGAGAAAATAATCCACTGCAATTTCAGCACTGGTTGGTTGATACGAGGTCGCTCCCTCAGTTATGTCTGGCCGGGGCCAGGCCGAAGCCTCGGCCTGGCCCACCCCCACCCGACTTCCACCGTACGAAACATCGTAGCCTAAAATGTTGGTGGCAAGCGTTGCTCCGGCTCCACCGACTCCACTGCACCCTAGGAAAACTATCACCATTACTAAGATATCAGGAAAATATTATAGATTTCTGAATATTAGAATGTAGGTTAGTACTGGTTCAAAGTTGTTGATGAAAGTTAGACACATGTGCAACACCTGGGTATCTTCATTGCAGACGTTTCACCATCCAGTGGCTTTATCAATACAAATTCAAGGACATAATTGGAAAACAGTGGAACTATATACAAAAGACGAGGTAATCAGTCCCTCAGCCTTGGCGTTGATGTGAAAAGCACCGTAGTCGTGATGAATCTGGAGCACAGGCAAGAATGCTGGTACTTACATACATCAAGTGGAAAGGGATGGGTAGCAGATGTCACTGGTAGGTGGGATTTCCCAGTGAAAGTAGGTCGTACCTGAGGGACAGGTTAGTGGTTGTGAAGAAGGTTGTGGAGATGTCCTCTGAACCAAGATTCCATGATGTTACAGTGTCTGACGGTGTTGTATACCATTCATGTACAACCTCTCAGACACTGCAACATCATGGAATCTTGGTCCAGAGGACATCTCCACAACTTTCTTCACAACTACTAACCCATCCCTTGGGTATGACCTACTTCCACTGGGGAATCCTGCCTAACAGTGACAATGCCTTCGTCTGCTACCCATCCCTTTCCACCTGACATCAGTATATAAGCACCAGTATTCTTGCCTGTGCTCCAGATTCTTCACAACTATGGTGCTCTTCACACCAACGCCAAGGCTGAGGGACTGATTACCTCATCTTTTGTATACAGTTCCACTGTTTTCCAATTATGTCCTTGAATTTGTATTGAGCCACTGGATGGCAAAACCTCTACAATAAAGATACCCAGATGTTGCACATGTCTAATTTTCATCTTGCTGGTATTGTGTACCATTCATATATAAAGTTGTTGATGAGTGGAACAATCTACCAAGTAAAGTCATAAAGGCTAAGGCCTTGACTAGCTTTAAAAGGACATTAGACAAATATATAGAGGTGGAAAGTAAAGTGTCTGTACTCTGAAGGCTGGGTGAGGATATTATAGTTCTGGAGGTGGAAAGTACAGTGCCTGTATTCTGAAGGATGAGTGAGGATGTTGCAATTCTCCGTAATGTTGAGGTACAGTCCTTGGACATATTATGTACCTCTGTAATGTTGTGGTACAGTCCTTGGACCCATTATGTACCTCTGTAATACTGAGGTACATCCCTGGACCCATTATGTGCCTCTGTAATGTTGTGGTACAGTCCCTGGACCCATTATATTCCTCTGTAACACTGAGGTACAGTCCCTGGATCCATTATGTGTATGTAATATACTGGCAACTGCCCACAAGTTGGGTATGTGGTGTGTAATACAGACAATAAACCTAGTATCTTAGACCATTAGAGGAACAAGAACATTAAGGAAAACCTGCTAAGCTCTCAACTTGCAAAAAAAGAACATATAAATCATCTTGTGAGCCAGGGCAGAACTGCTACAAGGACTGTAGAATGATAAGTTCGGGAGAATACTAGAATACAGTAACTACAGTTACTACTATCACCTTGTAGAGTGACTACAGTTACAGTAACTACAGTAATTACTATCACCTTGTAGAGTGGTTGGGTCAATGGTAGAGTCCCAGCCTTGCTCCCTGGAGTGTTCTTGTAGCCAGGACAGTCTCCTCCTGGCTTCATCTTCAATCATTTGTAGTCTCGACATTTCCAGAGCAATGAGCAACTCCATGCTGGAGTCACAGCCTTCCCATGATGCTCTCTCACCATCACCTGTTGTAACAATGTTATAGCAATATAACAGTCTCGCCATCACCTGCTGTAACAGTGTTATAGTGATTTAACAGTCTCGCTATCACCTGTTATAGAAGAGCAGTGTTACCTTTCTTTGGGTACAGGTACACAAGTACAATTATCATACATAGTTTAACTCTTCTTCTTTCAACAAACTGGCAGTATCCCACCAAGGAAGGGTGACCCAAAAAGAAAAACAAAAGTTTATCTTTTTAACTTTAGTAATGTATACAGGAGAAGGGGTTACTAGCTCCTTGCTCCCGGCATTTTAGTCTCCTCTTACGACACGCATGGCTTACGAAGGAAGAATTCTGTTCCACTTCCCCATGGAGAGAAGACCAAATAAACAAGAACAAGAATTAGTAACCTAGGTAGTAGGTTGGTAAACCTACTACCTAGGGAGGTACTACCGTTCTGCCAAGTGAGTGTAAAACGAAAGCTTGTAATTGTTTTACATGATGGTAAGATTGCTGTTGTCCTTTTTTTTCTGTCTCATAAACATGCAAGATTTCAGGTACATCTTGCTACTTCTACTTACACTTAGGTCACACTACACATACATGTACAAGCATATATATATACACACCCCTCTGGGTTTTCTGCTATTTTCTAGTTCTTGTTCTTGCTTATTTCCTCTTGTCTCCATGGGAAGGTGGAACAAAATTCTTCCTCCGTAAGCCATGCGTGTTGTAAGAGGCGATTAAAATGCCGGGAGCAAGGGGCTAGTAAGCCCTTCTCCTGTATAAATTACTAAATTTGAAAAGAGAAACTTTTGTTTTCCTTTTTGGGCCACCCTGCCTCGGTGGGATACGGCTGGTTTGCTGAAAAAAAAAAAAAAAAACTAGTAAGAAAATAGAAGAAAACCCAGAGGGGTGTAACAAAGTGAAACAAAGCTGAAGGGGTTGGGTGAGTTTCAGTGGAGAGGAATTTATGGGTTTAGGCCAGGGGTTTCTAATAGAGTTAGAGCTAAAGAAGGAGGAGCAATAATGTTGAAGGATAAGCTATGGCAGGAAAAGAGGAACTATAAATGTATTAATTCAAGGATTATGTGGAGTAAAATAAAGGATGGATGCGAGAAGTGGGTTATTGTAAGCATTTATGCACCTGGGGAAGAGAAAAGTATAGAGGAGAGAGAGAGATTTTGGGAAATGTTGAGTAATTGCGTGGGGAGTTTTGAACCAAGTGTGAGAGTACTTGTGGTTGGGGATTTTAATACTAAAGTGAGAAAAAATATTGTGGAGGGAGTAGTAGGTAAATCTGGGGTGCCAGGGGTAAATGAAAATGGGGAGCCTTTAATTGAGCTATGTGTAGAAAGAGGTTTGGTAATAAGTAATACATATTTTATGAAAAAGAGGATAAATAAATATACAGTGGACCCCCGCATAGCGAACTTAATCCGTGCAAGAGGGCTGGTCGTTATGCGAAATGTTCGCTATGCGAATTAATTTTCCCCATAAGAAATAATGGAAATAAAATTAATCCGTGCAAGACACCCAAAAGTATGAAAAAAAATTTTTTTTACCACAAAAAAATGTTAATTTTAGTACACACAAACTGAAAAAGGCATGCACAATTACATGACACTTACTTTTATTGAAGATCTGGTGATGATTGATGGGAATGGGAGGAGGGAGAGAGTGTGTTAGTGTTTAGAAGGGGAATCCCCTTCCATTAGGACTTGAGGTAGCAAGTCCTTTTCTGGGGTTACTTCCCTTCTTCTTTTAATGCCACTAGGACCAGCTTCAGAGTCACTGGACTTCTTTCGCACAACATATCTGTCCATAGTGGCCTGTACCTCTCGTTCCTTTATGATTTGTCTAAAGTGGTTCACAACAGTGTCATTGTAACAGTCACCAGCACGGCTTGCAATAGCTGTGTGAGGGGATTTTCATCAAAAAAAGGTTTGCACTTCAAGCCATTTTGTACACATTTCCTTAATCTTTGAAGTAGGCAATTCCTTCAATTTCTCTCTCCCCTCCTTTGAACCAGTTTCCCCAGGTCTGGCCTCTTGCTCTTGAAGTTGATCTATCAGCTCATCAGTGGTTAGTTCTTCATTGTCCTCCTCCCAACTCTTCCACATCCTCCCCATAACCTCCAACCCCAAGGACTTCCCCAATTCCACAATTGATTCCTCAACTGGTATACTACTCCTCTCAGGGTTAGCCTCAAACCCTTCAAAATCCCTTTTGTCTACACATTCTGGCCACAGTTTCTTCCAAGCAGAGTTCAAGGTTCTCTTAGTCACTCCCTCCCAAGCCTTACCTATAAGGTTTACACAATTGAGGATATTAAAGTGATCCTTCCAAAACTCTTTTAGAGTCAATCGAGTGTCTGTGGTCACTTCAAAGCACTTTTGAAACAGAGCTTTTGTGTACAGTTTCTTGAAGTTGGAAATGACCTGCTGGTCCATGGGCTGCAGGAGAGGAGTGGTATTAGGAGGCAAAAACTTCACTTAATGAAGCTCATGTCCCCATAAAGTCGCTCTGCCACGTCTGTAGGATGACCAGGGGCATTGTCTAACACCAGGAGGCACTTAAGGTCTAATTTCTTTTCAGTTAGGTAATCTTTCACATTGGGGGCAAATGCATGGTGTAACCAGTTATAGAAAAATTCCCTAGTGACCCATGCCTTACTGTTTGCCCTCCACAGCACACACAAATTATCCTTGAGGACATTCTTTTGCCTGAACGCTCTGGGAGTTTCAGAGTGATACACTAATAAAGGCTTAACTTTGCAATCACCACTAGCATTGGCACACATCAACAAAGTAAGCCTGTCTTTCATAGGCTTATGTCCTGGGAGTGCCTTTTCCTCCTGAGTAATGTAGGTCCTGCTTGCATTTTCTTCCAGAACAGGCCTGTTTCATCACAATTAAACACTTGTTCAGGTTCCAGTCCTTCAGTTTCTATGTACTCCTTGAATTCCTGCACATATTTTTCAGCCGCTTTGTGGTCCGAACTGGCAGCCTCACCATGCCGTATCACACTATGGATGCCACTACGCTTCTTAAATCTCTCAAACCAACCTTTGCTGGCCTTAAATTCACTCACATCATCACTAGTTGCAGGCATTTTTTTTAATTAAATCGTCATGCAACTTCCTAGCCTTTTCACATATGATCGCTTGAGAGACGCTATCTCCTGCTAGCGTTTTTCATTTTATCCACACCAATAAGAGTCTCTCAACATCTTCCATCACTTGCGATCTTTGTTTCGAAAACACAGTTAACCTTTGGCAACAACAGCTTCCTTGATTGCCGTTTTCTTGCCCACAATGAAGCGATGGTTGATTTTGGTTTCTTGTACAACCTGACCAGGTCGGTGATACGTACTCCACTTTCATACTTATCAATGATCTCTTTCTTCATTTCTATGGGTATTCTTTACCCTTTGAGGTGTAGGGTTGGCACTAGAAGCTTTCTTGGGGCCCATGGTCACTTATTTTCCACAAACAGCACCGAAAACACTGTAATAATACGAAATATTCCGAGTGTATGCTTGAATGTTACCGCGGAGGCTGGCTGGTAAACAATGGGACGGGCGGCACATGTGAGGCTGGGTGAGGGCTCAGATTGGACGCGTCTCGAACGAAGTTCGCTGAGCGGGTTTTTGTCCACTATGCGGGGCAAAATTTTAGTGAACAAAGCGTTCGCTATGCGGATTGTTCGCTATGCAAGGCGTTCGCTATGCGGGGGTCCACTGTACAAGGTATGATGTAGCACGTAATGAAAGTAGTTTGTTAGATTATGTATTGGTGGATAAAAGGTTGATGGGTAGGCTCCAGGATGTACACATTGATAGAGGGGCAACTGATATATCGGATCATTATCTAGTTGTAGCTACAGTTAGAGTAAGAGGTAGATGGGATAAGAGGAAAATGGCAAAAAAGTAAGAGGGAGGTGAAAGTGTATAAACTAAGGGAGGAGGAAGTTCGGGTGAAATATAAGCAACTATTGGCAGAAAGGTGGACTGGTGCAGGTATGAGTAGTGGGGGAGTTGAAGAGGGTTGGAATAGTTTTAAAAATGCAGTATTAGAATGTGGGGCAGAAGTTTGTAGTTATAGGAGGGTGGGTGCAGGGGAAAAGAGGAGTGATTGGTGGAATGATGAAGTAAAGGGTGTGATAAAAGAGAAAAAGGTAGCTTATGAGAGGTATTTACAAAGCAGAAGTGTTATAGGAAGAGCAGAGTATATGGAGTGTAAAAGAAAGGTGAAGACAGTGGTGAGAGAGTGCAAAAGGAGAGCAGATGATAGAGTGGGAGAGGTATTGTCAAAGAATTTTAATGAAAATAAGAGAAAATTTTGGAGTTAAACAAGTTAAGAAAGCCTAGGGAACAAATGGATTTATTAGTTAAAAACAGAGAAGGGGAGTTAGTAGATGGCGAGAATATTTTGAGGAACTTTTAAATGTCGATGAAGAAAGGGAGGCGGTAATTTCATGCACTGGCCAGGGAGGTATATCATCTTTTAGGAGTGAAGAAGAGCAGGATGTGAGTGTGGGGGAGGTGCGTGAGGCACTACGTAGAATGAAAGGGGCTAAAGCAGCTGGAACTGACGGGATCATGACAGAAATGTTAAAAGCAGGGTGGGACATACTGTTGGAGTGGTTGGTATTTTTGTTTAATAAATGTATGAAAGAGGGGAAGGTACCTAGGGATTGGCGGAAAGTGTGTATAGTCCCTTTATATAAAGGGAAGGGGGACAAAAGAGATTGTAAAAATTATAAAGGAATAAGTTTACTGATCAAGTGTTTACATTGAAGCATACATGTGAGCAGTATTTAGATAAAGGTAGGGAAGTTTTTATTGCATTTATGGATTCAGAAAAGGCATATGATATAGTGGATAGGGGAGCAAAGTGGCAGATGTTGCAAGTATATGGAATAGGTGGTAAGTTACTAATTGCCGTAAAGAGTTTTTATGAGGTAGTGAGGCTCAGGTTAGGGTGTGTAGAAGAGAGGGAGACTACTTCCCAGTAAAAGT